CCCCTCCCCCACCGCCCTGCCCCGCTCCGCCGACTTCCAGCGCCCCGTGCTGCAGCCCGCGAGCTGGGAGGCCGGCGCGGCGCGGTCCCCCGCCCCCGCGGCGGCCCCCTCCCCGCCCACCCCCTCCGCCCACTCCCGCCTGCGCATCTTCTCCGGCACCGCCAACCCCCAGCTGAGCCAGGAGGTGGTGTGCTACCTGGGCCTGGAGCTGGGCGCCATCTCCATCAAGCGCTTCGCCGACGGCGAGATATACTGCCAGGTGGGCGAGTCCATCCGCGGCTGCGACGTCTTCCTCATCCAGCCCACCGCCCCCCCCGTCAACGACGCGCTGGTGGAGCTGCTGATCACCATCGACGCCTGCCGCCGCGCCTCCGCCCGCTCCATCACCGCGGTGCTGCCCTACTTTGGCTACGCGCGCGCGGACCGCAAGACTGCGGGGCGCGAATCCATCGCCGCCAAGCTGACGGCCAACATCATCACCGAGGCCGGGGCGGACCGGGTGCTGACCATGGACCTGCACAGCGGGCAGTGTGTGGGCTACTTTGACATCCCCGTGGACCACGTCTACGGCGATTCCGTCATCCTGGACTACCTTGCCTCCAAGCGCATCTCCACCGGCGACCTGGTCGTCGTCTCGCCCGACGTCGGCGGCGTGGCCCGCGCCCGCGCCTTTGCCAAGAAGCTGAACGACGCGCCGCTGGCCATCGTGGACAAGCGCCGCTCCGCGCACAACGTCTCCCAGGTCATGAACGTGATCGGGGACGTGCGCGGGAAGGTGGCGGTGCTGGTGGACGACATGATCGACACCGCGGGCACCATCACCAACGCCGCGCGCGTGCTGCACGCGGAGGGCGCGCGCGAGGTCTACGCCTGCGCCACGCACGCCGTCTTCTCTCCGCCCGCCGTCGAGCGCCTGTCCTCGGGCGTCTTCACCGAGGTCATCGTCACCAACACCATCCCCGTGCCCCCGGCCCACAACTTCCCCGAGCTCACCGTGCTGTCCGTGGCAAACCTAATGGGGGAGGCCATCTGGAGGGTCTACAACTCCGCCTCGGTGCAGAGCATACGGGAGTGAGGTGCGCGTGTCGGCGCGGGGAGGGGTGCCGGCGAGGTGCCAGGCGCGGCGCCCATGTGCGAGAGCGATGTCGGAAGGTCGACCTGGGCGACGCTGCCTGCTGCCAGCGCACTGCCCCCTGGGGACCAGGCAGCGAGCCCCCGGCGCGGCGAAGCTCGCTCGCGCCGGACGCGGCGTGCTGTTTGCGGCCGACAATCCCCCGCCGCTTTGCTGGCGCCGCACGCTGGGGATTGCACGAGCCAGAGCGCATGAGTGCACGGCCCGGGCGTCAAGCCCTGGCCTGCATGCAGAATGACTACACTTGACTCAATTCTTTGACACTCGATCACTGCAAGCTCATTTCCAGGACAGAGGGGAAGCGCTCAGATTGGGGAACCAGGGGGGGGTCGACAGGGGGAACTCGCCGGCGACTCTGCACCACGCCCAGGATTCCAGCAGGTGAGAGATCACAGGACTCTGGCATCCCTCCGAGGGCCCCACCCACACACATTACACGGCCCCATCAGACCTCAAAGTCCCAGGCAATGCAGAGGGCCTGGCGGTCCAGGAGCAGGCGGTTGGTCAGGCCTATCTGCAGCGCCAGCCCCCCAACCAACGGCTGCAGGCTCGAGGCGTGCTGCAGCAGGCGCTGGCAGGCAGCGCGGAAGCGGGCCTCGGCCAGGCCGTCCTCGCGGACCAGGCGGCGCAGCCTCAGCCGGCGCTCCACCTGGCGGGCGAGGCCCGCCAGCGCAGCGTCGGCCTGCCGGCGTCGCGCTGCGCCTTGCGCGGCGGAGCGTCCCAGCGCGCCCAGCGTGGCGATGAGTGATGCGGCGGGGAGGTCGGCGGGGAGCTCGACCGCGCCGCTGGCGGCGTCCACCCCCTGGGCTGACCCCGGCGCGCCCACGCGCAGGCTCACGCCCGCATAGTCGCCACGGCGCGGTCTGCGTGCATCACGTGCGACCGCCACTGCGCGGTCCAGGAACTCGCGGTAGGGTGGATCGGCGGTCGCGATGCCGCGGCCGCGCACCACGGCGTCCACGCCCAGCGCGGCGGCCGCGCCTTCCTCCAGGCGCCGCACGTCGCGGCCCAGAGCGCGCAGCGCGGCGCACCGCGCCACGTCCAGCTCTGCGCCCAGGAAGGCGACCCAGGCGGCGCGC